ATTTTTACCTGTTTTTTAAGATAACATAGCATGTCAAACTAAAATTTTAAATGATTTTAAAATTTTTTTCCCTCCAAGTACTAAGCCTGAACACTGAAGGAATTGAAACAAAAAATTATTTATTACATAATAAATATCTACCATTATTTCAACTGTTTTCATTTGACTATTTATGTGCATTGGAGTTGTCAATATTTCCTAGGTTTTGAAAAAACTGAAGATTTGCAACGCGTACAAACAATTTCATAACAATTTCATAATTTTGCCAAATTTGGTCTTGTTTTAGGAAACTGTACAAATATAGAGACATTGTTAATCTTTTTGTAATTCATTTTGATTGTTTACCTTACATTTATTTGTATACATAAATTATATTCACTTTTTAACTGTTTATAATATCTAGAAAATATGCAACATTAACTAAGATAGATTTTACAATTCTGTTGGTTGCATGAAAGTCATTAAACAAATAAGAGATGATTAATATAAATTGTTACAAAATTTATTATGCTGATAAAGCTATAAAAAAATTATTGGAACACGTGCAGCTTTTAATTAAATCAACAAGGAGCTTACCAATAAAGTGATGGGAAAGAAAAGTTGTAGGGTGTGTCAGAATAATAAAATTTATATTCCTCGACCCGACGTCTTGCAGATAAAAGAATCAATCTGGGATCGATTCGTGCCGGCAAATAAAGCAAGCAAGGTATGATCTCGCGTTCTCACAATACGGACGGTTGCAGCAGCGAGAAAAAAGAGCGGAGAGTTATGCTCCCCATCTATCCATCCATCGCACGGCGGGCGGAGAGAGGAGGAGATATAAATATATTTATTAAAGTTGGGGCGTATAAGTAGCGGTGGCACGGCGCGCGCAGTAAACCCTGCGATTGAATGGAAAAGTTGCCCGTGTCAGCTTTTCTTTTGCAACTATTGATATATAGCACCGAGTGTATCTGAAAGGGAGCGCGCGCAAGAATGTTGTTTTATATTTATCCGGCTGGTAATCCGCCAGTGATTCTTCTCTTTCTCCTCTTTCACTATACCTGCACACAAAAAACGTGTTTTCGCTGCACAAATTCGCGAATTCCTCTTTTGGCGGTGCAAACACGACAGAAATTTTTTAATTTGCCTGTCAGCAAAATATTACACACGCGGTGCGACAAAGAATCCTCGTGCATTATTCCTGTGGGCCAAGTGGGAGGAGCGAAATTTCACTCTGACGGTGGCAAAAGAAAATTGCGGAAAATTGCACAAATTTTTGTCGTTGCCCCCGTGAGATGGAAAATTCTTTTGCAACGGAGATAAAGTGAATTCTCTATCTCTCAAATATGCCACGCGCTTTCACTTAAGGTGGATTGAGTGTGATGAAACCTGGCATGTAATAATGTCTTGGAAATTATTTAGATTGTGGAAAGAATTGAAATATAATATTTTGAGCTTCAATATTGTTTATTTTTCCACGTCAAAGCCAAGTTTTAAAGCAAATATAATTTATTGTAACGCTTCAAATATTAATCGCAAATATTTTAATCAAAAATTTTATCTGTTATTTCGTGCAATGTATTCCATGCATTCTATCCGCCTTGATGCAAAACTTTTTAATATTTTTTCCAAACCAAAATTCAAATTCAGACGCTATTTTTGGTTTCGCGGGAGAATTAATCCGTTCCATCCGGCTGCACAATCGCAGTGGCACACAGATTATCTGCTCGTTGTGTGTGTCAGAAGTGAAATTGTTATATTATTAATTAAATTTAAGTTGGGCATTTAATCTCGTCAAGTGCACGGCACAAAGTTTGAAATGTGTTTCATGCCGTGACTGCCGGGCCGGGGATAATGCCTGGAGAGAGAGAGATACAAGGGCTGAATATGTGCAGCGGCCCAGATGAGCAACTGCTGCTGCTACTCAAAGAGAGAACAATGCATAGATCATAATCATCATCAGCTCGCCCGTGCACTGCAGCTTTTGCCTAATGGATGCCAACAATGGATCATACAAAAGACGCGCCTGCTTGAGCATTTATTATCGTGTATTGTGCAGCTGCGCGCCGCCGCCTTTGTTCCCTCATCGCCATCGCGCGCCGATCCGCTGCCTAGATTTAATTAGAAACGCTCCTCGTTCCCCCCGATCTGTGAATTAGGTGCGAATCCCCTCTCCATCAACTATCGAAATGCTTCCGAGATCGAAATATCTCCTCGCTCGACACTTGTGACAACTTGACTTTTGTTTTTCTGCCTGTCAATAAACTCCTGGAATCAATTTTTCATGCCTCCCCACTGCGGGTCCAAAGCCGATTCCACGATTTAGTTTCAAAATAATAACAATTTTACTAAAATGTATCACGAAGCATTCTCTGCAAAATACATCATTCATAATTTCATTATTACAATTTGATCATTTACAAGAGAGTAAACAACAGAACGAAAATAAAATGACGATGACAGAATTGAAAAAAACAAACATTGATTTATGTTTACACTCCAAATAAAAGGGATAGATCAATTTAAAAAATCATGCTAAACAAATATTAACTTAAACATTGCTGTACACTTTTGAGCTGAAATTGGCAGGTTTATTATTGGTTTTGCTGTTAAGTCCTCTGCCCTTTTTCAAATGTCTGCTACTCTTGAATTTTATGAATTTTGAAACTTCCTTAAGTTGATAAAATCTAGAAAATCATCAAAATCTTTTTGAACAAATTTATATCATGATCTAATACAATTTTTATTTTCTGAAAGTCTTTACCCCCTTTAATATTCATTAATATGGTAGCAAAAATTGACCTCAATAAAATATAAAAGAGATTTCAAAGCGGTTTGAGATTAACTTTTCTCTGCGAATCGAGCCAAGTTCCTCGAGGAGACGTTTTAATTTCCCCACTGCAATGAAGAAAAAGTAAGTGCAGACGGCGCAGTATATATTTCCACTTTTTATATCTTGGGATCGGCAGCAATTAGTTCTCCGTTCGTTTCCTATAGAAAAAGAGCAGCTGCGGCACATCGGATTAAGAAAATATTGCTCTTTGATTCAATTATACGGAGAGTTTTAACTGAATTTCGCGATAAAGAATGCACTGTAAGCGGCACAATTTATATTGGCGGTGGCAAAGAGGGAAGAAAGCTGCTCACATTACAAAGTGCGCCGGTCTATTGTTTTAAAATACAGAGAAGCTTTTTGTGTGTAGGGCGCCGACGTCAACCCTATTCGTTATGTTCGCAAGTAGCCTGCAGAAGCAGCTTGTTATGGATAGAAATAGCTCGGGTTCACTTGTCTCGAACGAAATTGGATTTTATGGCCTTTACACCATCCTGCTTTCCAACTCACTCACCCCTTCCTTCCTTGCAACCCCAATCTGCTCCTTAGCCCTAATCTCTTTCTCTCTTGCGCTGACCTTCGCAGGACATGCAGAAACTTTGTTTTCCTGAAACCGAAAATCCTGAACTCGGATTTCAATTTAATTACTAAAAAGTAGAACGGCTTTTGTGGTCAACTCAGTAGTTGCAATTAAGATTTTGGCGAGTGTTGGGATGGTTTTTGGAAAAGCAATAAATCTCGGCCGTTAAGTCTGCCCGGGGCAAAATGAGAAGGTTGTTGGGCAGCACGGGAATGAAATTAAGCCTTTCGGCGCAATCTCCTCCCTCGTTTTTTGCGGTTTTCCGTGATAAATCGGCGCCAAAGGTTTTTGTCTCGTTCCATCATCCAGGGACAAACGCTCGCATTCGTTCGTCAGCAGCCAATTTCCGTCGGTCGGCTTGCATTGCAGCCATCGTTGTTGCAATTTTAATCAACGGCCAATAATCGAGTAGGAAATTAAGCCGAACGAAAAACCGATTTGAGTCGATTAATTGGCAAATAATTTGACACCTGCGTGTGCGAAATTTTCGCCAAACCCCTAGCGAGAGCTAATGGAATGCGCGTGAAACCGCACCAAAGTTGGTTTTTTGAACGAACTGGGGCAAAAAATTTTACTCTCTGCCAAAATTATTTGTGGTTCTGCGAATAACTGCGAATAACCAGAATTGGCTGCATTAAAATTATTTTGCTTTTTTCAACCTCCATTTTTTTTTTAACAAGTTTTTTATACATTAAATACACACAGTGAAGATGAATTTTAAATTATGTAAATCAATAGCAAATAAATTAAATTGAAATTTATTTCTAAAAAAGGAAAACATGAGTTTAATTTAATTTAAAATTAATAACATGGTTTATAAATTACACCATAATTGTTTCTTAAAATGATTTTTTTCTCTCAAATAAATATTAAATGACTTTACTTGTTTAAAAATATTTCAATAAATGGATCAATATAAATTGAAATATTTTTGTTCAGTATGACTGAAGTTGAAAGTTTCCATCCACGCTTATGTACAGAAAAAATGAGCTTTGCAAATCCAACTGCTTATCGTTCAACCGCTTATTGAAAAAAAGAAAAGCTTGTATGAATAAATTGAGGCTGGCGAAAGCGGCGGGATATTTATGCGCGGGGGCGCGACGTGTCAAGATTCGCCGCCGCGAATTAGGCCCGGAGGCGCGTGCCGGCCGAGTGGAGAGCGTTTTATTTATGAGAGGAGCCGCTCGCTCTCTCGTCGGTATTAATGGAAACGTGATTGTTGCCATAAATCACAACTGCAAAGTAGTTTGCCTCCCCCGAGAGCGAGAACATCTTCACAGACGTGGGTCAGCAGCAGGGGTCACGTGCGTTCACCTCCTCCATCCTTTCTTCCAACTCTAATTTTTTAGATTCCCGCTTTTCTTTGATGCGTTGAAAATTGTACAAGATTTTACCTCGTAAACTCGGCTCGCAAAGGGAGGTTGCGCGCAATATCTTAAAATTTGATCAAATTGGTTCTAAACTCGCTCCGCCGTCCCGGCCAGAAATCACTCGGCTGAGCAGTCAAAGCCCGTCTGCTGATGATGAGCAAAGAGAAATTTCCTCCCTTTTCTTCTTGTTTTTATTTTGAACGAAATCTGATCGACTTGTTTTTGTGTGTTGCAGGGGTTTTGGATTTCTAACCTTCGCAGACCCTTCTAGCGTAGACAAGGTCTTAGCTCAAGGCACGCACGAGTTGGACGGAAAGAAGGTAAGTCGCAAAAAGCTAACATATTGAATTTTTTAAATTTTTTATGAGGAAGGATCATTTTGTATTACACTCCAGAAATATATTTGAATGGCATGATTGCAGCTTTAATTTTTGTGAACTTTTTATAATGAATGGTGAATTTTTGAAATTACCCTCACTGATCACTCATATAAACTCAAATATATAAACGCTGATTTTCATTATTAATTGAACTTTTAATCTTTGGATTCTTGGAAATTTAGTGGTGAGAGGCAATTTTAAATTGTTTATAAAGTTCAGCATTAGAATTGTTTTAAAACCGCTGTTCCGTGGCACGCACTATGCATCATTCCGGTTTTTTAATGCGCAAAGAATTTAATATAATCAAGTGGTCGAGGGAATTAAACAAGAGCTGAAATTAAGTGGGTTGTGGTGCAGCAATTTTGCATTATGACGCGCCGGGAGGAGACCACACGGCACTAAATCTGCTTGATGAGATTTACAATTCTCGCCGGAATATCAAAACACACAGCGGCTAATGTAAATTGCAGGTCGGCCGACGGATTGATGGCGAGGGAGCGGAGCAAAAAATCCACGTATATACTCTCGAGAGACTAAGTGCTGCACAAAATGCATCCAGCCTCTTGCCTGCCTGCATTTTTCTCTCTCTCTCTCTCGCCAGTGTAATTTCGCATGTCTCGTCGCACTGCGCGAGTGCTGCCGACCGGAATTAATCGCACGTTTTATCCAACGCGAGCAAGAGAGAAAAGAGTGGTTTAAAAATAAACTCACAGACTGAATTCGAGGAAGAGTTGTTCAAAAATTACAAAAAATGTTTTTTAATAATTTAATTTGTAAAATAATAACTTGCCATTGTTTATCAATTTTAACTTGGTAGTGAAAGCAAAAAAAGTTCTAGCTGCGAGGAATAAATGCCAATTTCCTATTAGACGATTTAAGTCAACATTTGCCGATGGTTTTATTATCAGATCCGATTTTCTGAGGATTCCAGCACGACTTTATTGTAAGCAAACAAAAGTATTGTTGCGGTCACAAGTCAAACAAAAGCAGTCGATCTAATCCCTGACAATCAATTTTTCTGCCGCATCTGAGGTCACGTTCAAGTGGCGGAAAGGATTTGCGAGTCGATCGCTCCGTGAAATAAAACAACAAAATGTTCTGCCCGAAAATAATTGGTGGCGTTTTCGAGCAGAGGGACAGTATCAAAGTGCGCTCTCCGAGAGAGTAAAAGAGTTCATTTGAAAGTCTTTGACGGCGGAGGAAGGAGGAATGAATGCGTGCAACGACGCGAACGGGAAAAGGACTAGCAGTCGAACAAAAGGAAAAGGAAAATAAAAGGGCCCGTTCGCAGGCTGTAATATGAAAATGGTGCCTGCATACTAATACTCGGCGCTGAAAAGAGGGAAAGAAAGAAAGGAGCTCACTTGCTGCTGTCGTCAATATGGAATTTATACAGATTGGCTCTTGGCGGCGGCGGGGGAGAAATGCAAATCGCGAGAATGAATAAGAAATCCCGGCCTGCCTTTCTTCTTGGCCTCGCGCGCGCGGTAATCGCCGAGAATTTTAATGACTCCTTCAAACGCCAGAGCCAGCACCGAGAATCAATATGTGTGAATTAATTAATATCGCTCAGCCCAACGCCGATCAGATCCTTTGTTTGATCTGAACTTTGTAATGGCCGAAATTAATCTTCCAAAAGTCTTACGTAGAAGCTTTCAACGTTAGTCAAAATCTATTTTTTAGCCTTAAAGGGAAAACATCTTTTGATGTATGATAAAGTTTAAAAATAATATCATACTTTTATGGGACTTGCAATTAGTCAGGAAAAAATATAATCACAAGGAAAAAAATAGAATTGATAAAAAATTGAGATGCTGGGAGTGGTAAAAAAACGTGGATTTTCAGCAAACTGATTTTATTAATTTTATTAAAAAAAAAATTAAATTTCCACTACGATTTATAAATTTTTGGTTTATTTGTACTTTGTAGAGCTTTGAATTTTGATCAGAATTTCACTTCCCGTATAAGATTTTGTTTTCTGTTTGTATTCGATTAAAACAAATTTGTTTTATATCTCATGCAATCAAACGAGATTCACTGTTGACAAAGCGGTATGGCATACCCGCGGCGTCATCGTTCTCCCACTTTTTTGCAAAAGCGGATCGTCGTTCTCTCGCGAATTACTTGGGAAGTCGTTTGTTGATTTATTGGCAGCCAATTATCCTGCTGTTGGTCGGTTATTTTCCTTTTGCCCCCGGTCTGACCCGAGCGGGCAAACAGACTGAAAATAAAAGCGGTGGCAGCACACCCATCCATTTTATTGATGTCGTAAAATGACAAGCTATAAGTCAATGATTATCAGCCGACTTAACTGACTCGCCTGCCCGCTATCTGCAGCTTTATAATAATAATGGTAATGGCACGCGGCGGCGTCTCCGTCTTCCTGCCCGCTATCACAAGAGTTTGATGCCTGCGTCATTCGCGCGTGAGTGATGGCCTCGTTTTTCTCACAAATCAATTTTAAAAATATATTTTTATATTTACACCATACGCTTGGGAAAATTGGTGGCTTATTTTGAAATTAGGCAAATTTTTAATGAAGTAGATATAAAAAAATTTTGGATTTTTTATGCAAAAATCACAAAAATGGCAAATGGAACAATTTAAAAAAAAAGGTCTGATTTTAGGCATAATTTGTTTCAATATGTCTTTAAATTTAAAAACTGGATGCTTTTTACCAGCACAACTTTGTATTTTTGAACAATATATGAAACATCAATACCAGTTTATTCAAGGTGGTGAAAAGCAAAAAATTCAAAGAAAAATTAATTGGTGAATTAATTTTGAAAAATATTTTATAAATGATTACTCAAAATTGACTAAAAAAAATATGAAGTACAGCTTTCTAAATATTTAAACAATAGGTGATTGCTTATTTTCCTATTCCTAATTTATATTTAGTAGGAAAGCTATGAAAAAATCCAGTTTCAACTTTTGTAACAATTTGAAAATTTTCCGCCTGGCAGTTTTCAATTAAAATTGCGGAAATTGCGATCGGGAGGTTTTCGAGGTGAATTAATGGCAAAGTTTGAAGCATCATCTGACAGCACGCGAGCCAGCCATGCGCGAAAACTGCGAGTACACATGAAATTCGCTTGCTGGCGGCACGCGAGTGAAAATTGTGCGCGCTCAGCAACGGCTCTTCTGCAGTATAACCGCGCCGTGCTCCGGTTTATTTTGCTGATTGAATTGTCTGGCTCGTCATCTGGCCGTATAAAAATATTCCACCTTTTTAGATATAAAAGTAGTATGTGCACTTTGCTTCTTCACCGAGTGTGCATAAAATTTGATGGTCGCTTCCGACGAGCTGCATTTTCCGCCACATCAAGCACCGCATCAAAGTGCACTGCAGCCAACCTTGTTTTTGTAGCTTAAAAGCCTTCCATCTCCATACTTGTTCGGCCCAAAACTCCACAATTCATCGTAAAGCGCATCACATAGATTGGAAAAGCAGAAACATTGTGATTCGATCTTCAATCCTATAACAAAAAGGAGTTTTATTAAATCCAAATTTACAACTATGACCCAGTGTTATCCGCTGTTAAATCGATAGTACGGACTTCAATTAACACATTTGTTTCTACATATTTCAAATTATCTTTATTATACATGTTTTCACTAACGCCACAAACAGACAATATAAATTTATCAAAATGTGGATTGCTCAAAAATAATTTTCTCATTATCAAAATATAATCATTATAATAGCCTAGAGGGTTGGGCCGTATTCACATGATTTTAGTAAAAAGAGTGTATTATTTCAGATTAATTCTATACCTAGCCCGAATTCAGAATACAATTTATTCAAAGCTTCCTCCACATTTATTAGATTATAAATCTGAATTCGCAAACTCAATTCGACAGATGGGCACAGATCAAAATAAACAATATTTTCCGCTCCAACGGGTTGTGTTTGTTTGGTTTCGCGCGCCGCGGGCTGTTTGATGTAGTTTGATACGTTTAATGTATAAAACGCGCTCTCTATCTCCTCGGCTATAAAACGTGGCTTTAAATTGCAGCGGAAGGGCCGCTTGCGTGGAGCCGCTAGAGTTTCCTCCTCAATTATCTGCCCTTTTCGCGCACTCCGATAAATATATATAAAAAAAAAGGAATGTGTGTGGGCGAAGGACGGTTCGAGAGTTTGCCAAGATTTCTGCTTATTGCTCTCGGACCCACTTGATTTTCCGGCTGAATCGCGCTAATCGATTCGCAACCTTTACGACCCTTTTCAGGCTGAGACACTCACGTTATTTTCCGCAATATTTCCCATAAAAAGTTTCGAACTTGTCCAAAAGTTGCGGCCATTTATTTTGAGCCTTTTGCTAGTTTTTGCCGACATCGGCTCTAATTGAGAATCCCTTTATGGTTTTTGTCAGTGTGCGCAGGATTTGCTGCTGCGAAAACGTCTTCCTTGTTGTCAGAGAAATAAATTCGCTTCGTCTCACACGCAAGATTTTACACTCACGCGGCCGTTGAAATACACTTTTTATTTTTCTAGCGAGTGATCCTGCACACGTCGGGTATGCAACACGCACGTCCGCCGCGCCCGACAAAAAGCCTAACCGCACCACAAGCGTCCCCCTCACCCCTTATTCAAAGCGTCGTCGTTTTGATGAATTTTTATGCTCGGAGAAGAAAAATATCGCATTTTCAATCATAAAAAGCAGTCGGGCCTTAATTTAACGCACCCGAGCACACACACAAGTTTTCGCATTAAAAGTTATGACTTTTTATTATGTTCTTCGGACGGTCGCCGCCGCCACCGCCGCGAGAGAAGAGGAAAGTTTACGAGTTGACGGTGTGTGGCACCAAGTGCAAGCGAGAGCCCCCGCTAATGACAAATCGAGGCGAGTCACACTTCTTGCGCAAGAAGATTCAGAACTCTACAAATTTCCCCTATGATCCTTCAAGATTCTAAAAAATAATCGTATGAAAGGCCT